TGTTAACACTGAGGCCCGGGACAGGGCCAACAGCATAGACACACAGCCTCGGACAAGGCCTGGACCAGGGTGAAGCCGGCACAGCCACGGCTATCGTGGCCAACCCACCCTCCCAAAAGAGACCCCCAACAGCAAATTGCTTGGGAAAGAATAAAGGTTATGAAAGGTTGATCCCCTACTATGCAGGTGAAGACCATTCTTGCCGAGAGTCCAAGTTGACATTTTCCCGTGGGGTCGTCAAGTCGACCTGGGTGCCCTCTGCCAGTGTGGAGCATGAGCACCGAAATCGTGAAAAGCCGAGGATTTCTGGCTGATTCTTGAGCCCAGTGGAGAAGCAGTGCTTATGGCTTATGGCATGCTCAAAGACTCAAAGCTCGTATTATGCCCATACAACTGACAATGTCAGCAGCTTGCGGGCATGTATTATGATGTATATGGTACATGATGAGCCCCTGAGTTTGCTAACGGTGAAGCTCCCATTGACAGCCGTCGTCCTTGTAGTTTTTCAAACTGTTGCTCGGCTGCTCGGTTACAAAGATGTGTAAATAATATATAACTATAGACTGTATACAATATGACAATATACATATATATATATATTGGCATATATCGGCAATCAATGTTTCAATCTCTTCGTCTTAAAACACTGGGCTCTTGCTAGATGTTTATTCTTCCTTTGCGAGCGCATCAAGTCTGGGCTCTTGCTGACCCAGATCATCCACCACTTCCTTCGTCACCTTGGTAGCAAGGTGGCAGCACTGGTAACATGTGGTGGGGGGCAGGTGTGGCATGGTGTTTTCAATTGTGTTCATCATGTTCTCTTGTGGGACCCTTGACACCATGTGTCAGCTTCATGACACTTAATTCACAATGCTGTGACAGGTTTCTACTAAAGGGAGCGCAGTGACAGAATAAAAGTCAGACCAACCAAGCCCTATGCCAAAGCCAGATACCGGCTGCGCCATGAATTTCGCCTCAGACAAGGGTTGATCTCCCCTCCCTCCCTCTCTCTCTCTCTCTCTCTCTCTCTGGTCCTTGCAGCTTCCAAATCAAGTCCCCAAAAGTAGGCGACAACGCGCTACGACCAAGTGCCTTTTTGAAATACATGTCAAGCACTCAAGAATCCCCGTTCAGCTGGCACTACACAACTTCCGCTGGCCAAGGTGCACATCGTTGGAGGGAACGCTTGAAAGAGTTGTGAAAAGGATTGCTTTCCTTACGAATCCGCGTGTGTGTTCAGATGATCAATGCCGGCAACAACTTGCTGAAAGACCAATCACATATGGAACCACCTGCGAAGATGCTCAACACGGCCGAGCGGCTGGATCATTGGGAGGGAAAGGCAAATGTAGGGCAGCATGCGCCAGAATCAGCACAAGGAACACCGCCAAGCTCCCGTAGTTTTCCTTCAGTACCTTTGCTGTTGCAAAAATGAACACTCACAGATCAACTCCGTGCAACTCCAAGGTCGCTGGTTCCTGGGAGGCCACGTGCCTAAATGCCCAAGACCGGTTGCAAATGGTAGGGCTGCGAGGATGACTTCCGTCGATGTGACGTGTGGCAGTGTGGCCAACCAATGTAACTTGAAACATCAATGTGGCAGGCGGATGCAGTAGCATCTTGATCTTCAATACTTTTCTCCGGCACAACAGCATAATGGACGGGACGGTGCCAAAGAGCACAGCGGCTTGTAGGACCGTGCCGCCCACAAAAAAAACAAGTCAACCGCAAACATCAAGCAAAGCTAGTGACTGGCAGCGCTGAGCATTGGCAAGTTGCACTCGTGGCGCCAAAGCCAGCGAAGTACAGTAACACCACTGGGACTGATGTTAATAGCCTCAGACACAGCGCCAAGGACCAAGCTTGTGAGTACCATGCTAAATCATTGCGGGTGTCGTATTTGCCCTGCCCTCCCTTCCAAACAATATCAAAACGTTTCTACCCTGGCCGATTGAGCCTTCAAACAAACATCACGTGTATGGAAGAAAGGAAGGTTGATTAGCTCACCTTGGCTCCAAGCAGCTCGCCCTCAGCTGAGGAGCTCAACAGCCCCACAGAAACCATCAATAGTGGCCTCAGCTCGAGCTTTGACCTTGTAAGGCGCCTTGATGCAAGAGTTCATCCCTTGAGTAGAGTCTGTAAAGTGAGCTATGCGCGCCAAAACAATGTTTTACCATGTTTTGCTTGAATCAGTCCGCGTAATTCCTGCGGCAATCCGCCCCAAACGATGGCAAAGGCGGAACAAACATCCCTTTGGCCTAGTCACAAGGTTGACATGGAGATGGCCAAAGCGTCTGAACTCCGGTGCCACGAGATCTGCGTGGCCTTGACTCACAAGGATCGTTCTGTGCCACGTCAAGTGTGTAAACCCGCCAGAAGGAGTGCGGCAAAGAATCTAATCAAATCAAACGGTATGAGGAAAAAACAATTGGACCCCTTTTAAGGGGGGACCCTTTTCACGGGGATCCGTTTTCTCGCTTCTTCTCCTACAGCGAATCACTCCATGCAACCCATCGGGAATCCCCAAGGCGCTCCACCAAAGACTTGATCTGCTACATTTCTCAAAGAGGCGCGCCTGCTTGATACTCCAAAGCAGACCGATAATACCATCCATAAGCACTAAAGCACGACCCATCGAAGCATCACAGGCCTTCAAAAACGCAAAACGCTGATTGTCACATGCTACACAGGGCTGTGCCATGCCTGCGATGCATCTGTATCATAATGTATCATATGATCATCATATGTTGCTGCCTCATCTTCTGTTCATGTCTCTTCTGTCCTGCCTTGCTGGTTCCTGCCGGTCCAGAGGCTGGGCATGCCCACAGCATTGCCACTGCTTGGAGTCCACAAAAGCCAGCAATCCAAGGTGCTGAGGCCTGCGCGGGAGCATTGTGAACACATTTAAAGTTTGAACAATCTGACTGACTATCCGACTGACTGGAATCTGGAAAGCACTTGAGGTTCTCAGCCAAGAGAGTAAAAATAGAGGAAACAAACGATAATATTATACTCAGCAGGCCAAATGAATGTGCTTGGTCAATCGCCGACGGGCCTGAAAAAAACAGAAATGCCCAAAGGGCCAGCGCAAGAACCCATGCAAGATACCATGGCTTCCTCCAAGCTGGCCAGTTCCCATGTGTTGCAAGCCTCACGCTGACTTGACTGATCAACCAGTGGGCAATGTACCAGTAAGCGCTATTGAGTGGTTCTAGTTGATTGCTGGACTTTGGAGGTGGAAAGAATCTTTTGAAACACCTCCAACTTCTCTCGCCTGGAGATCATGCCGCAGAACTGACCACAAACCAAGAGGTTCAACAATGCTTCCTGATTCGCTTGGGCTTGATAAAATAGAACGCTCAAGAGCGTCAAATCACAAAGTAGATAAGCGTAGATAGCCTAGATACCCACTACCTTGCACTCACTACAAGCAACTGCTTGGCATAAAGGAAACCAAACGAGGCATCGGAACGACAACCTTGAGGTATCTTGAGCGCATTTTGTCCGTCCTCTATCCAACAAAGTTCTGCTACCAATGCTTGTGTATTGTTGTGACTTTGATACTTGTAGTTTCCAAGCTGCTCAACGCTTTGACAAGCGGTTCCCTGGCAACAAGGCGTGTCCTCCAGACCAGGACTCAGGGATTGTCTCTGCTCGTTGATTTCATCAAATGCCAGAAGCCATATGCCGGCCTGAGCCAGTGAAACAACAAGCCCTAGTGCATAAGTGCACTCAACAACCGGCCGACTGAACACAAATAATTGGGGATGCTCAACTGGCACCTTTCCCCATGGACAAAAAGACCATAACTGGCAAGCCAGCGACTTGACACTCCTTGTCAACATCCAGCTTTGCTAGGTCTGATCAGAAAAGCATACACACCGAGTTTCTAACACAGATGTGAAAAATTCACCTGTTTGATCCTGTTTGTAAAAGGCAATTTTCCACTTCCATGTGTATTTAGGGAGTACTCAGTACTCCTGAAAAATCATTACATCAATAACAATGCCCGTCCATCCACCAGAAAGTGGAGGTCTGGATGCCTATACAAAAGCACCAAAGTTAGGACACGTCAAGTCACTTCATTACATAGCTTTCACACTGGGGGAAAGATTGAGGATATGGCATGCCATGCCTTGGAAGGAATGAGGAATGTTGCCAGGGCAATGTTGCCAGGAACAGCAAACTTGAATGGACAGGCCAGCCAACTTGAAATCCGATGCATTCCAGGAGCCAAGAGCCACAGGCCCCAAGAAACCACGAGCAGCACAAGGTCAGCAGTCTGCACTGCCTCGATCCTTTCATGAGCAATAACATGCGATAAACGTGCTTATGATTGTGATTTGCTGTGGGCTTAGAATTGGAAGTAGTCACTTGCCACAAATTGTTCTCCAAGAATCCTTCGCCTCTGCCGTAAAATGTCCTCATCACTCTGCAAATCACTGGATTCCACCGCTTTGGTCGATTTCGGCGTCTTCTTTGGCATGGGGTGGAGGCACGCGCACACTTCGAGTAGCAGTTAAAACGGCCTAGATCTGGGAGGGTGTGGTCCCCCTGCAGGCTGGAGACAATTTAACAACCTTTGACCGTTGAAACCTTGACATTGAAGACTGCTTATATACCTGTTTATCCTGCGCAGGTCTGGGTGGCTGCAAAATGTTGCAAAAATGTAGCACCAACTAGAAAGAAGCTATTCAAGCACTTTCCATGACGGTCTCAAATGACTCAGCCATCTTAGCCAAGCGCTGCGCGCCAGTCGAAGAGTATCAAAAAGTCATGCAGTGATTCAGTTCAGTGTAGATTTGATTTGTCGCCTTGGTTTGATTACATATCCTGCCACTCCTGCAAACCGTGAAACTCGAGGAAAACAAGCAAGGCTAGCTGAGCAACATAAATGAACAGCAATTAGTAAGAGTGCCCCGAAACATCTGTCCTTACTATGGAATGGAAATCAGGTGCCTCTTTGCCCCTCCCCGAAATGGAGAGACTGAGATGCAGGCCCGCCGCAAAGGTTTTGATGGCTGCTTGGACTGAGCACGGGGATCAAGATCCACTTCGCAAGGGCACCGCAAAGCGCAGCAGAGCGAACCCTGCTCAAAACAATACATGGATTTTCATGGCGTTCAGACGCTGCTCTCGCAGCTTCATGCAAAAACTGTGGACAATTACCACAACCTGTTGAAAGAAAAGGGCGAGGCCTTCAATCACTCCAGCCGCAAACGATCATGCGAAGACCACTACAATATGCTATGCCTAGCATGGACCTAGCTAGTCCCACCTGTCGTTTTGAAGTGCGCGACATGCCCGAGACTGTGCCATAACGCTTCCCTCATGTGCACAAACAGCATGGACGTAGGCAGCTTCTGAAGTTGTTCAGAGCTGCCAGGAGGTGGTGAGCGTATGTTTGGCACAAGCCGGGGTTTGCCTTCGTAGCATTGTCCCCGCAGAATGGCAACACAACGCGTCAGCAGATTGAATATGCACCCCACATTTGTCCAAATAAGAGCTCGGGAGCCCGACAGTGAGGGGTGCCGGCAAAACCGAGCAGCCGTTGATCACGAGGTAACCGTACCACACAGTTCAAGTCAGTCAGCATAATTTGCTGCTGGCCATGCGTAGTACTCATACATAGTAAGCTTCATCTTTGGTGTTGTGTGATGGCAAAAGCTACTTGCTCCATGTAATCTTGGCACCGTTCCTACCAATTCTGATCAAAGTCACAATGTGTTTCTCCTTCCCAAGGGTGTGGCACCTGTCCTTAACTTCTCCAACCGACGCCGGCCAAGTGGGCCCGCGATCTCTTCGCAAAGAAGAAGAAGAAGAAAGAACTCGTGTGTCACAGTTTTTCAACGTCTGGGCGCATACATGCTCTGTGGCGCCGGTTGTAGGGAACAATCTGTGCGTCTGGCTTTCGGCTGGTTCGAAGATTTGTCTGGCCGAGATGGCCCAACTGGCTTGACGTGCGGGGCCGCCAGCACAAAGCAAAGCAGAACAGCGGAAGTAGTGAGAGGTAACCTATTGATGCTGACCCCATAGGTTACAAGCTGATCAGTCCCTTTCAACTTGCCTTCAAGTGCCAAGTGTTGATTCACAATTTCCTGCTTTTGCACGCGCCTCCAAATCTTTCCAGCCATCAGCCCCTTTTGCGAAAGGAAATTGGTCAAGGCTTTGTTGAAGTCGTTGAATGCAATTTGTTCCTCCACTATCGTGCAAAGTCAGTTGACGACCTCAAGCGACATAGTCCTGGAAGTTCTGGAGTTTCGGGCCACAAGTAAACAATGGCTTTGGACTGATCATCCCGCCAGAAGAGGTCTTACAAGCACCTGCGTCCACATCTCCGACGCTTGTGCAGCCAGCAATCCATTTACCCTTCCTAAGCCAGCTTGTGCTCGCCTCACTCCCGTCTGGCATATACGTATAATAGTCTGCACTTAGATCTGGCCACAGTTTTTCCAAAAGTTGTCACGCGGTTCAAAGGCAAACCGTCCCGCGTGCTGCTTGGAGTGGTCATGAAACTTCACCTAGCACTTCTCGTCGCTTCCCTTTCACCCAATGTTTGACAGAACTCGCGAACACGGACTTGCACAGGAATCGAACATTTGGCGTGAAACGCAAGCATGTCATGTCAGGTCATTAAAGCACCGATGCCACAATGCAAACAGGGCTGCGCAGGACTCAAGCATGCAGTAGAACCCGTACACAGGCCCCAGCACAAAAAATTGCTCCAAGTTGTGCCAAATGTTTTTTTGCTTGCGCCCTAAATGGTCTTTGGCACCAGAGCAGAAGCAGAAATGTTCTGGCCAAGCAATAGTGGCTACGCTCCACACACGCACTCTCCTCTCTCCCTCCCTCACCTGACCTGGCTCTAGTCGTGTATATAAATACTTTGGCATTTTAGGCACTACACTGGTTACACCGCTCGGTCCATCAACCACACGGCCAGTTGCGTTCCTCCGGTGGAGCAGCAGCGAAGAGCATGACCTTCAGCCATGTTGATGAGCCCAGGAGTACAAAATATATACAACGAAAAGGTTCACGCAAAGTGCTGAGACTGAACTTAAACCAACATACAGCATACATTGAAATAGTATATATATATACTATATATAAACACCGCTCCAGGAATTCCGATCTGTGGGGTAAAAATGATCAAACTGACCAGATTTGAACCGAAAGAGACCTCTATAGTCTATATATACATACACACATACATATGGACTTGTGTGTGTGCCTTCTTCCAAATGACGTGTCTTCATCCGTCTCTGGGCATTCCCTGCAGCTGTTAGCACAAGTAGTGCTGACAGAGTCACAGGCCTCACAGGTCACACGAGACACAATACGCATAGGCTTGCAAAGAGTCTACACTCTCTATATACTCACTCAGATTTTATCTAGATTAGAGGTTGACTGTGCTCCATGAAGTTGTAGGTTTGTCGGTGTGCTGCAGTCAACCCATGGGCCAGCTGGGCTATGCGGCAAGGAGTGCTGTAAAGTACCCGGCAAAAAGAGCAACGGGAAAGTATACCTTGGAGCAACAGCGCATTGTAGCGTGCGATGGTCACACAATGCCGTGAGGCACAAACCTCACAGTTCACAAGCAATGAAAATGTTCATGACCAAAGGACCAAAGCGATGTTGGCAATGCATCACCCAACCCAAGCTGGAAATCCAAGTCTGAACACGTGTTTCATCCTGGATGCACACATATTCGACTGGTTGTTGCAGTACTCGCTGTCAACTGCCACTAGAGTTTCAAGGGCTTCTTTATGACTGACCCGTTAAGGGCAAGGCGTGATCGCAGTTGAGAGAATATGTGACCTTTGGAGTCAGCCAAATGCTTCGAACCAGTGTGTCTTTCTGTGGGCGAAGTGCGAAAGCCATTTGGCTGTTTGCAAGTTCTTCCACTTCCGCAGTACTTGATCTCAATTCGGCCGGCAAGCTTTACACCTGCCTGATGACACTTCAATGCCTAAATAGTAAATAGATTCCAAATCCAGAGCTTAGTCCAGCACACATTTTTGACCAAGGCTGAGCTCCGCTTCACCAGCAGACCAGCCACCCAACCATGGAGCAACCTCAGTGTCATTGGTGGGTGCGGTTTACTTCTCTTCGATGGCTACTTTCATCAGCCTGGTGGCATGTCTGAGTGCAAGGGCACAGCATGATGAGGCCTTGACCACAGGAAAATCACTGCCAGTTGCCAGCAGCTCGGTGTGTGGATCCTAGGTGCTCAAGGAAGGGCTCTTGAAACAATGGAAGTTTCCAGCTGCTTCCAATCTAACTGTGTGGAGAATGCTTACGGCTTAAGGCTAAAGTACCTCCAATACCAGACTTGAGGTTGGCTGCAGCATGCAGACTTTGAAACTCAAATGAATGACGACACAAACATTCACATCATGAGCATTCTGACCAACAAAGCCCGAAGTTGTGCAGTGGACTCCAAACTGTGCATGCATTCTGGGAGATTGGCTGCTCCCAAGAGCAGGTTCCATCGCCACCGTCCTTCAACATCGATGCGGGGCCGGTTTCTGTGGACTGTCCGGTTGCATCGTGGTCGCAACCGCCGAGCAAAAGCTATGTGCGAAAGCTCACGCGTTCAAAAGCGTGATGTTGACTTGCTTCTCACAGCGCCTCCGAGGTACTCGCGGTGTTCGCGTAAAAAGTCAAGGCAGCACACAGAAGCTCGCCGAACATCAAGTTGGTCTGCCAGCAGCATCGAATCCACATCCAGAAACAATTGCGGCTTTCTAAATCGCTTCGTTACATAGTCGACTTTTTCCAACACCGTTGCCCAAAGGTGGGGTTGTGGACAAGAGCCATCTTGTCAGCTTGCGCTGGCACACTCTTGCCAAAATGCATAACAAACTAATTATGTGAATCTAGGTAGAGCTTGGCACGGCACCCCCTTGGCATCAAAAGAAAACTAGCACTGACTAGCACTCTACAATGCCTGTGATACATCCAACCTCGCTTCATTTGCAGATTATTCCCATCGTCTGTCTATTCGACACGGCTGGGCCCACCTTCTGGATGTAAAACTGCCTTGGGCACATTTACTGTAATTAATCGTGGCATGCTGAGGCATACTGCGTATACCAAGTTCAGCTCCATGACCCTGACACATATATTATATATGTTCTATTGGTGCGTGTGTGTATATATTAATAGATGTCAATCTTATATATATACATTGCGCCGCGGCGCATTGAGTGAGCATCCTGAGGGTGGCACATTTCGCATCGGTCCTTCAGAAACTTCTCTGCGAAAATGGATGCCTCAAAGTTAGCCCTCTTCCAGCATTCCAACATCTCTTTGCATGCCCTTGCTGGGACGCTGATGTGCAACCTGTAAGCCACAGACAAGGCAAGAGAGCACGATGCCGAACCTGGGATGAATGAACGCTCTGCCGCCACAACGGCTGGTTCAGTGCGTCCCCTGGTTGCCCCCAGCGTTCCCCCAGCGTTCCCGGTGTCTAAAACCATTCAAACGCAGATTGTCCAACGACGACCACCCTGCAGTAGTAACGCGCTTGCCATGCACCGAAAAAATCAAGGCTCCCGAGTCACCAAAGTCAAACAGGTGTCACAAGCAAGTTGAGTGTCCGTATATGTCCTGATGTTATTGCTGGTCCTGTGCTCAAGCCATGTTCTGAGGCTAATGCTGAAAGTATAGCATTCCCATAACCTTCGCCGACATCCTCATGCGGCGCCACGTCCGTGTCATTTAGGTGTCTTCGTGGAAGGTTTCGACTCACATGACATCAACTTGAGACAGAATCCATAAAAATACAGTTGAAAAAAACAATACTTATTGTGTTTTCCATGGTGGACAACATCCTTTCAGAACGTGTGAGAATGCCCTGCAGTGGACCACTCGATCCCACAATCTTAAAATAATTCAAAATATGTCAAGCCTTCCGTCTTCAGGAGTGGCATTCTGTGGAGCGGATCCACCTCGTGTCACACAGGAAAATGCGCGAATCAAACGTTCTAGTCCCTCTCCGTATCCGTTGGTTTCTGCATCCGCTCAAGGCTTTACTCTCACGGAGATCTTGGCGCCGCGACTGGGCTGGAAGAAAAGCATCCGAACCTTTGGTCATGGGTCGGATGTGGAGCACTAGACCTCCCAAATTTTGCATTGATCACGCCACTTTGTATTAAAGTCCTTGTATGATGTGTAAGCTAGGCTTTGCGGCTTTGCGTATTTTTGTCCTAACATACCAGCATATCCAAGCTATTGCTAATCATTCTAATAATGTTTCATGTCCAGTTTATCGCCGCCATACTTACAATCTAGGCAAACGGTGACAGCCCGGAATCAAAGAACATGGTGATGGCAAATGGGTACATCATAGAGCTAGCTATTGGTACTATGTGTAACTGTATGTGTATGTATGTGGTAGCATATGTATATATATAGTGGAGTTGCTTTTTGAATGACTATAAAATCTTGCTTTTCAATGCATCACAGCTGAACACAGCCCATCCTGCTCCCAGCCTGGAGAAATGCCATCGCCACTACACCAAGTAGGGCCTTAGTTGAGATCTCTTGGTCTGTTCCAGGGACCGGTGTTTGCAGGACTGGTCGTGGTGGGTGTGTCCGAATCCGAATGACTGGCTAGTGACTCTTTCTCGTATCGTATCGCCGTATCGCCTGCTCTGGTCCCACCTTCTTGCCACATTTCGCGCAGGCCGATCGGTTCGACATGCCTTTGGCTGTTGAGGCTTGCCTTCAAAGCCTCTTCCACAGCTTGAGGCAGGAGCAATTGCCAGCCACTGCTTCAAAGAGTATCCTCGGATCACTCCAATTCGAGTGCCAACGAGACATCACTCACCACTCAATAACATCAATATCTCTCAGTCGGACCTGTTATACCACTGGCTTCAATCGTCTGTACGGAATTGTTCGGTTTGACTGCACGCACCTGTCCAATCTCCACCTGTCATCACCTGCCCGCCTGCCCACATCTGAGAGCAATCTCATAGACCCTCATTTGCCCAGCTGCTGCGTTCCAAAAGGAGCCAAGACAGAAGCGCAGTCAAAGGCACGTTCACCTGCAGCTGGCAACCGGAAACCCCGTGAAGAAATGGCAAGTTGGTAAGCAAACCTACTGTAAGCAATTTTATATGCCGTATGACGTATGGCAGAAAGTGTGAGATCCGCTGCACTGGCTGAAAAGAAATGCTGACAAAAGGGTGTAGTGTAACAGGCCCATTGAGTTCGTGGATTTCTCGGGAAGAAAGCGTCCAACTGAGACAACTGCACCCACAACCAGCCCTGCGGCCTGTGCGATCACTTTCAGGCTCCCAGGGTCATAAAAGCGGAGCGCCTGAGGCAGCTCGGAGTGTAACGCGGGAGCTGAGCAGGAGGTTGAGTTGGAACCCTGCCACAATTGCAGAAGGCAGTAACAGTCCACTACCAGTAAAGTCAAGAAACCATGCACAAACGAGTTTTATTATTGGAATGAGCTTAAAAGTCAATGCAAAAGCAGCGGGAGCTCAAGCGGTGCCTTCATCGCAAAAATCTGCGCCAATCCAAACGAACCGGCGATCGGAAAGACCTGGGCACTGTGAAAGAACATCGTGTGATTCTGAAAAGACAAAGCAGTCCAGTAGTCCAGAGAAAACACAAAATAAGACAAATGGTGTTTGGGTCCCTGCAAACTGGTGTAATAAGGCCCTCTTCAAGGGCCTTGTTAAAGAGGCCCAAACAATCAAACACAGCTATTGTATGCTTTTGTCTTATTTTGGTTTGCTTAAGATCGTCTCTCTTCAGATTCCCCTCAGTCCAACAAAAGCTGGCTCACTGAAGCGTCGACGTTTCTCTTATGTTCAATCATGGTCACGTGCCGACTTACAGTTCTCAAGACGCGAAGATCTAAGTGATTCAGAAACGCCGCGTCAGTGGCATTTTTCCTCCGGGCCTTCATTGCCCGTTGCAAATCCAAGCACTGCCATAGTCCCGGCAAGCCATCACGGCACGTAGCCAGGAGGAGACCAAATGCTGCAGGCAGAGTGGCTGATGGGTGATGGGTGGACGTCGTTCTGCTCAACTAGGGTAACGTGCTTTTATAACTGGTCACCTAGTTTGATGCTAAGTGAGGGCACCTGCATTCAAAGAAGCTTTAGCCTCTATTTTTCACTGAACCTGGCCATCCCAGCCTATGGACAGGCCGTTCTTGACGGCAATCACCAATGGTGCACACATCTCACCTTACAACGGAATGAACCACATGCATGTTGGACTTGTGTTGTTGGTTTAAGTTAATTCTACTTCTTGGTTTGTGCTTCTAGTACGTTCGGGTCTTCCAGGATCTACCATTGGCAGCCACACTTTGTCGTGCTGCATGGTAAACAGCCAGGCCTCAGCATTTGGTAGCGAGACCTAAAACCATGAGCATCGGCATGAGCCACACTGATTTAGGTGCGCTATGCACACACCAACGATCAACGTCTGTGGAATAAAAATATAACATTAAAGTATAATATTGAAAACAATCAAGCGGGCATGCATGACAGCATTCAGTACGATAAGAGAAGACACGTGGCATTGAACGGGCCGAACTGTGTGCCAATAATGACAGCATCACAAACAAAAAGCCTGGAATATATACTGTAAATATATTGCAGTAGTGCATGTACTGAAGCATATCATCCAGGCAGCTTTTAGAAGCATCCAGCATGACGAAGAAGAACACCAACCATGCCTCAGGCACATTGGGCACGGTGACACTGTGAAGCTACTTGAGCCTGCCTTGCAGCATGGGCACCACACAAAACTCACAAGACAAAAGCAAAGGTTTTGGGGTACTGTCATTGAATCAAAGTGCCTACGCCAAAGCCTACTGTTCGTCTACGTTTCCACAGTGCAAGCATTGCCTACGGAGATGTCTACGAACGTGAGGTTCTGGTCCAATATTGTTGGCTGTTGCCTACGGTAGCAAGGGGATCTGTTTTGCATTCTTGGCGCCGCGTGTCTACAGGCAAACTATTGAACAGAAGCCAGTCAATCTTGAGGCGATGAGGAGATTGAAGTGATTGAAGATGAATTTGAGCTAAATATACAATATTACATAATGACTAATGCAGCTGCTGCCTGCTACAGTCTGCCTTAGGCGTGCAGATTGACAGCGCTCTTGGATGCTCTTGGCAGTTGTTTGACAAAGGAGTGCCGCTGCGAAAATGGATCCAGTTTGTTTGCAACTTCTGAAGCGACATGTTTTGTGTACAGGAGGAGCAGCTTTCTGACCTGCGTGGTGTACAGCCTCATTGACGCGTCATGTCTACAAATCTAGAACAAGTGGGCCAAGGGTCACAAGAAGTATTTTCAGGATTCTTGCGCAAAACCTACGGTGAGCCCACAATGTGGGAGTTCCACAAAAATAACTGCGGTGGAGTTGACTAAGCACATGTCAAGTTGTCAAGAGTTTGTAGCCGTCCTAGACTAGTTACAGTACTAGTTAGTTGCTGAATCTTTCTGAGGAATTCCTTGTCCGAACCCTCACTGCCTCGGCAAAGGGTGCCCTGAATGCTAAGTATTTGCAAGCAAACATCTGGAAAAAAAAGTTGCCCCCCAGCAAGTGCCTACGGCAAACCAGTGCCAAAATGCCTATGGGTCGCCTACGCCCACAAGCAGAATGCCTACGCCAGCCTTTTCATTTGTTTTTGTGATGTAAATGTTTGTATATGAACGCTTATCTCAAAAAAGCTGAGCAACTCAAGGTTGTTGCAAAACCCTGAGGGTTATGAGTCCAAGATCTCTTCAAGTCTCGAGCCCAAGACCAGCTCCATTCAGGACAACACCAAGGAAGGGAAAAAAGATTAAAAAAGGATCGCCCATGATCACCCTATCTTGTCGTAGTTCTCGGACAAATGAACTTGGACCCTTGCAGCAAGGCATTCGTGCCCGCGCCTGGGCAGACGACGTTCGCCGTGCCTTCGCTTCAGCTTGTGCCCAATCCTGGCACCCCAAATCCCAGCGTCGTACAACGACGTGCGGTTGACATCGCTCTGGATGACCAACTCTCAGGAATGCAGAACTCAACAAGGTGACCAATACAAAGTTGAAGCGGCTAGAAGTTCTTACGGGCGACCAAGCCTGCCAGGAGACCAATTCTGCCTGAAAAGAGAAACGTGTATGCAGCGGGCCAGCTCTAATTCACCGACAGCTGAGGCTGGAGGTGAAGTGAAGCTTTACTTCCACTAGGTGACTAGGTGCCATTATTTTTCAGGTTCTATGTTTTCTTTTAGGTGCTGGAAGCATCACCAAATACACACTCATTGTAGTGAAACAGCCTTCCAGCTGCTTGACCACACAACTCTCCACGACGATGGACGCCATTCTCACTTCTGAGCTCTGGCACTGGAGATGAGTGGTGACGGAGCAAATGCGAAGAAGAAGGCTCCTGCAGTGGTCTTGCTCACCGCCAAGGAAAAAGGAGACTCAAACCAGCCAAATCTCTCTCTCTCTCTCCATCGCCTTCAGGTCAAGATCTGCCCCAGCTAAGTTGGGGGGGCGAGAAAGACAGCCAAGTAGTTTCGCTTGGCTATTTAATACTCGGAGGGAGGCATTCTAATTCTAAGTTTAAACTGTCCAAAAAAAATGTCGAAACCCAAAATGGGCATTCTAAGTTCCGGTCCGGCGCTATATTGTTTCGTGCATTGGAAACGCCAATGCAGGCCTCAACATCCTTTAGCTTCCCACTGGGCATAAGCGGGGGGCCGTCTATTCAAACTGCCAGCAAGTCCTTCCTTACAGTATTT